CTGAAGCTGAGGAGAAACAATAAAAAGATGAGTGCTTTCCAATCTAATCGTGTGTATGTGTGTAAACAGGGAACTGGGAAAAGCCAGTCACATTTTCCCCACGTTTTGAGATGCACAAGAAGAACTGCTAAGAATGATGCTGAGTTGAGCTGAGTAGTTGACAACCTTACCCTGGGAAGAAATCACAGCAAGCATTGAGCATCCCAGCCCACTACAGGTAAGTGGACTTCCCTACTAATCCTAAGGGAAAGCATATTTTGAAAAATTAGTTCTGAAACTGTTACTGGGGAGTTCATAGTGCACACTTCTGCACTTGAGTGGCCCCAGTGAGAAGTGCTGAGCGATGTGAGAACAAATTGAGCAAATTGAGTTGAGGCCCAGAGCTGTGGATTACCTTATGAAAGAGTCATTGGTAGGAGAATATTTTAATAAGGACTAGAAGATAGAACATGCTCAATTTTAGATATGAATCCATGGTTAACTAAATGATTAACTGAATAATGACAATTAGAAATGAGTGAGAAAGGCATTGGAATCAATATAAGTCCACCATGATACAATACTCATCCATCATTGTCAATTAAGCCACTCTCCTGGAAATACTGTTTTTATGCCAGTGATTTTAGTTATTGACTGATTCTTATCAATAGCTCTCAGATTGTGACACGTGAAAGACCTGCTTTAAAATTATAAGCATGCTTGCCTCTTACTTGGTCCCAATCTATTAAAGAAAATATCTGGTCATTTGATCCATGGCAATTTTTATTTTTAGGCATTTCTACAATATTTCTGTATAATGTTTGGGATGGTTTTAAGCATGTGCATCTGCATGCATGTGTGTGCATATATACATATTAAACATGGTTATGTATAATTGAGAAATTCAGGTATTATCAATTAGTAGCCAGCTTCAAATACTTATAGTGGAGGAAAATCCTCTTATAAGTTTTCTCTATAAATCTAAACCCATGAAACCATAGGAAACATGATATTTTAATTATCACAAATTAGGAACTAAATTAAAAATTGTACTTGTCTATTTCAGAAGAACTTCTGGAGGACAAGTTTTAAGAAACTTGTTGACAGCTGGAGGTTTCAGATAGAAACAATAAATTTAATATGTGATTTAGTTCACTATGTCAAAATAGTGTTTTCTTGTTAAAAAAAATAAAAATAAAAAATTGAATTAAGTTTGGACCGTAAAATGGCTCAACTGGTAATTGTGCCAGTGGACAGGCCTGAAGACCTGGGTTCAATCCCTTGATCTCAAGAGTTTACATTCAAGAAGCTATTCCTGAAAGTTATTCTTAGACCTCCATAGAAGCGCTTTGGCACACAAAAGACTGTACACACACATGCACACACACACACACATACACACACACACACACACAAACAAGCACATGCATACACATGCACAAATATACATGCATACATGAACACACACCTGCACATACACACACACACAAATAAAAAAGTAAACAGGTAAAGTAAATTTAAAAATTGAAGCAGTCACAATGTATAATGAATCTCAATAAAACATTAAGTATCCAAAGAAATATTTTACAAACAAAAGTGTTTTATTCTCTATATGAAAGTGTTACTTATGAATGCATTGAGTATTGCTGAATATTTTTTCAATTCTTCCTACTAATGATATCTTAAAATCCAGTTTATTCAATAAGTTCTCTGTATAATTTCATTATAGTTACAGATGAAGTTCAAAAGCAGATCATTTTTACGAATAATAAAATACTTCTTAAAGGAAATGGAAATGTCTTAGTAATGAATTCAATACCCATTTTAAATACCAAGAGGGGTAAAGTTAAGGAAGGCCAAATTATTTTTCCAGGATCATGTGTGAATTTAAGAAAGGTAGATTTATAACCAAATCAAATAATAGATTCTTTATAGCAAGTGTAGAAATGAACCCTAGCACCATTTGTTTCTGTCTGAATATTTGAATTACTATATCTAGTTTAGCTCAACTAAATTAGAGTGTGTGTGAGAAAGAGTGCAAACATGATACTTGTCAACACCAACAGCTGTAAGGATTTGTTCTATTTCCTTTAAAATTGGAATATAAGTATGTCATTTACCACCTACCTCTTTTCCCTACAGTACCACCCATATACCCTCCTCTTGCTCCCTCTCAAAATCATGGCTTTATTTTATTTGCTATTGTGTGTGTGCCCATGTTTGTGTGTGTGTGTGTGTGTGTATATGTGTATGTGTGTGTGTGTGTGTGTGTGTGTAAATATATAAACACAAGCTGATCCATCCATTTAGTGTTACTTGTTTGTATGATTTTAGGACTGAGCCTTCTTGGCCTTGGATGATGGGTTAAGGAGGTCATCCCTGAGGAAGTCTATTTCTTCTGCTTTCAGCAATCCTTAGTTGCCTGTAGCTCTTTATCTATGAGTGTGGTCACGTAAAGTTTCCTACTTCCATGATAACATGTGTGTTATGTAATTTTACTGAGTGATAGCCATGCTTACTTAGTAAGGCACGGAGAGATTTAGAACTCTTGGCACCACTTCACCTGAACTTACACACTCGGGATGGAGGTGATTTTTATAAAATTCCTTTAAAAACATTGGTGCTAAATAAAAGCTTTGGGCCGGGCGGTGGTGGCGCACGCCTTTAATCCCAGCACTCGGGAGGCAGAGCCAGGCGGATCTCTGTGAGTTCGAGGCCAACCTGGGCTACCAAGTGAGTTCCAGGAAAGGCGCAAAGCTACACAGAGAAACCCTGTCTCGAAAAACCAAAAAAAAAAAAAAAAAAAAAAAAAATAAAAAATAAAAGCTTTGGGGATGGTTAATAAAAGACCACAGTAGTTAAGGCAATTTATGCAAAGTTTTTTTTTTCTAATCCACTTGTAGAACTCAGTCATTTTTCAAATTCATTTTACAAATTCTATGGGCTGGAGAGATAGTCCAGCAGTTATGAACACTTACTGCTCTTCCAGAGGACCAGGCTTCACTTTTCATCACCCACATGACAGCTCACAACTGTCTATAACTCCTGTTCCAGGGCATCTGCCACATTCACACAGACATACATAAATGTAGGCAAAACATCAATGCACATAAAAATAAATATATCTTTAAAACAAAATAAATTCTATGAAGAAATAGTAACATGGTAAAAGATTGTCCCATTCTAATTTTAAGCTGTTTGTGGGTGTTGGATGTATTTTGTACTCCCAGCTCAGCTCAGCTCAGGACTGCTGAGTCCTACAGGGGAGGAAGTGAGGAAAGTACAAAGGCCACTGCAAAGTCTTGTACTCTTTCTGTTGATGCTTCTTTTGTCTTCCTCCAGTTTGTCCCCCCCCCTGCCACCTCCCCATATGAAAGGACATTGTATTAGGACTTCAGCAGGCAATGGTCTTGGTGAATTAGAGATGGGAGGCCAGTAGATAAAAAGCTAATAAAAGCATTAGCTAGTAGAAGGATAGATTAATATGAGTTTTAGTAATCAATTTGCTTTAGTTAAGGCTATTATAACAAACCTACCACAACTGGATCACTTCACCCACACGCAGTCTATTCCTCATAGTGTAGTACTGGAGACAGAAGGCTTAGTTGTTACCACATGAAAAGATTCTGGTGAGGTCCCTTTTCCCAGCTTGTAGATGGCCACATTACATCCTTAAGTAGTAGAGAACAGAGAATTCTGGCCTCTCTATCCTCCAACAAAGGAGCGCTTATTAGGAATTTACTTATGAAGACCTGACCAGCAAGTTCTAATTATTTTCAAAGTCATCTGTGAGCATACCATATATGTTTTCAACATAAAAATTAGGTGGGGGAAACACATTTAATGACTAAGGCAAATCACTGGGGCACAAAGCAAAGAGAAATAAGAGGTGGCTACAAATGGTTTCCACTTGGCTGCAAGAACATTTCCAAATAGGTTCACACCGCGACTTGAACTTAAGTGGTGAAGCTTTAGAACACATTTGGTAGCTTCTAATCACGTCTGAGTCAGGTACTCTAATCATCATGACTCAGAAATGAAAATTAAAGATGCTTAATTTGTTTGAAAGCTTCACTGAAAGAGTCCAAGAGAAGTCACTCCACATCCATATTCTTAAACACACACACACACACACACACACACACACACACACACACACACACACTCACACTCACACGCTCACGCACACACACATAATGAACCATTTCCAGATTTCATAAGAACTTACATTCTTGTTCAGTGAAGAAAACTGTTGAGTGGCTAGGGCTTGGGGAAGAGACAGAGCTCCTCCTGTGCTATTTGGTTCCCCTAATCCTTTCTATTTATATGTAAGTAAAAACAAAAAAATTACCTTGGGATATTATTTTTGTTACATGTAGATATTGTGTAATGTTCAACTTAGCTATAAATATCAACCTCTCCAAATATTCATTATTTCTTTTCTGATGAAACATTTAAAATAATCCCTTTCTCCCACATTTGTGAAGATTTTATCCGTGGTCATTCTAATGTGGAATAGAATCCCAGAACTTACTTTTTCCCCAACTAACTATAACTTATCAATAAAAATTTCCTACTTTTCATTCTATCACCACTTGCCCCAGCATCTTATACTCTGCCCTTACCATTCTACTCTCAATTTCTGAGGTCGATTTTTTTTATAATCTACGGAGAACAAGAAAATCTGCTGTTGGTCTTCTAAGACTGATTTTAACTTAATATATTGCCCACTACTGCCACCTACGTTGTTATAAATAACCAAATGCTATCCTTTGTATCAGCTGAATAGTTTTCAATTGCATATATGGACCACATATTCTTTCATGCTTTTGTTTTTTGAAATAGGGTGTGACCATGTGGCTAGCATTGGTTGACCTGGATCTCTTGATCCTGCAACCTCAGTCTCCTAGTGCGGGATCAAAAAGGTCCTCTATTTCATTGATAATCACCTCATTATTACTTATCTGTTCACCAGTTGATGGATACCAGGTGTTTGTCCTTTATTTCTCTATTGTACATTCTTTTTTTTTTCATTTATTGTTTTTATTTGCAGGAGGAGTTGAAACAATAACTTAAGGGTGTTTTTCTTTTCTTCCCTAAACATGAATCATTCAAGTAAAACCAACTTAACTATAGAAATTAGCAAAGTAAGGGGAAGTAGTAACAACCCACGAGCAAAGACTGGGGGAAGAGGAGTTGCAGTCGGCATAGACCACGTGCACAGAGACCACATGCACAGAGACCTCGTGCACAGAGACCACATGCACAGAGACCATGTGCACAGAGACCATATGCTGTGTTCACCTGCTCGGGACCGCCTCCCCGGAAGGCAAGCACAAGGACCCTTTTATGAGGATGTTCCCCCTCAAACATCTGAAAGCGTTTCAACTCAAATTTAAGGTTAAAACAAACAAACAAACCAAAAACACACAACCCCACAAACCACCCAGCCATAACCACCATCCTTAATCGATCATAGGAGTTTCTTTTCATTTTATAAAAAGATCAATAAAAATATTGAAAAAATTATTTTCTCATCTTATATTTGTAAAGATAATAGAATTCAGAAGTTTCTTAGAAAACAGACCAGAAACTGCCCTCCAGTTCCCTCCCTTTGCTGAGGACCAGCAGGACTACAAAGTGGAGGACAGTGGCTGCTGGTGGACAATGGGAGCCCAGCCCAGGAGAAACCAGACAAGAGCAGGGTGCAAGGGGAGGCTGGGAGCAACTCCACGTGACACATGGCTGTGCAGAAAGGGGAACACAGGGTGGTCAGAAAGGCCTTAAACTCCTCCGTGACATACAAAACCGGTTTCTACAAAGATCCAAGCAGTTTGGTCCCAAACTGAGGCAAACACTTCAATGTTTATTCACATGCTTTGTTTTCTCTTAAGAATCAAAGTTGCCCAAATTAAATCTTTCTGCTAATAT